CTCTTCAAGACACCATGGGGAGCAAAGAAGCAAAAATACAGGCACAAAATATTAAATCCAAGACTACAGGAGTCATTCTGAATAGCAGGAGGGATTCTGATCAGCCCTTATATATTTGGGGGGAAGACTAAACCTGCTGGGGTATAAGTACATTTGGTACACAGAACCCACAGATAACTTCATGCTTTCAGACACTCCTGCAAAGCTACTTTCGCAATGTCTGGCAGCCAGCATTAAACACAGGATGACCTGGGGCATACACATCTAAAGTTAACAAACAAGGAACCAAAGCAGCTGTCAGAGGATGCTTTTATGTATTAGGAAGCCTCCAACACTGTTCAGATAAATTATAGGTTACATAATAGTGCCTGGGATGTTTATACAGAAAATAGCTGCATACTCCTGATCTGATTATTCTATATTTCCTTCCAACCCATGCATAGGAAAATCAGTATAAACCTCAATGAAACCTAATTTCAGTTATTCAATTTCCTTTCTTCAGGTGAGGGAGGAAGAAAAATAGAATTCAAAATCCACTGACCTTCCCATCTGTTCTTCCTGTTTATAACAAGCTGCTTCAATAGGTTCCCACTGGAAACAAGCTGAATTCCCTACTACAAGTTTATTAGGATAACACTAAACACAATATGGGAATATGAATTCATAAGTAACTAGTATATTGCTGAATTTTTCCATTCTATTAATGATTTAAATTATTTCTGCTGCTTAACTTTTAGAGACCCTAACAGGCTTCATCACCAGATATAGATTGGCAACCTTAATCAAAACAAACTCACTGACAGTACTGTTAGAGCTCATTAGCATTCTCACCAGATGCTTCTGTCAGTATATAGGAACATCTCCAGCTTTTTCTTTCCAGTACATGACCCATGATACTAGCACAGCTTTCAAATTAAAACAAAAAATCTCAGTAAAGCTTCAAATCCTTGCTCTTCAGGGGATTAAATCTGTGCAAGGCCATGACAAAGCATTTAATATTTCTTGGATTTCTTAAAAACATTTTTTTAATAGAGATCACTGATTTTTATTTTTTTTTATTTCTCAGGAATTTATACAGATATGACTAACACATACACTATTTGCTTTCACAGAAAAAGTGCAGAGAGCATTTGTCACTGTAGTTATCACACAGGACTTTATACACAGAAGAAACCTGTGCTTCACCTGTCTCTGTACAAAGCAATGCTCTGACATGAAAGATGTCAGAAATCATTCCATGGAAGAACTTAAAAACCTCATGCATTGATTAAGTTGCTGCAGCCAAAGTAAAGGTCATAACAACAAGTTATGACCCAGCTCCAGTTTTTAGTGAATGAAAAATTAAGAGGGCAGGGAGGCCAAATATGTGGGCTTCACAAAGAATGCGTCCTTGGATGTGCAAAGCAGAGCCGATCAGATCTCATTGTTAATTTATTGGAAATGAAGCTGTGACAACAATCTCAGCCCCAGCTCATCAGTCACACAGGTACAAAGCATCCAAATGGAAAACAGATTTTCTGATTCCCTGTACCTCCCTAGAGGCCTGTGCTGCTGTCTGAGGACTACAGCATTCTCCTTTCTTGGCTCATTTGCAAGATAAACATACTCTGGCCTTAAACACTGCTCCTTTCCAACTGCTGGTGAAAACTCTAGTCAGTCTGAAAGATTAAGAGGATGATCTAGGGCACTACTCAATCCAAGAAAAATGCTCATGTGGGAACGCAAAGCTGTTGTTGTGACCAGAGGTGGTTTTATTTTTTCCACTGGATCCCGTTCTGCAAGCCCAGATACAAATACTTTCTATCTTTATTCTTTATCCACATGAACTTCCTTCCTTTCTTTTTTTTTTTAAGGGAGCCAGACACTTAGACTTAAACAGGTTTTTACCATGCTAGTTAAATGCTGCTTTTCTGCACTCACTATGATTTAAGATGTGACTGACATAGCCCTCATACCTGGGCAATGTTGAGCTGGATCAGTATGTAGTTTTAACATTTTCAAACACCTGCAGGAAGCTGTATTAATGATCAGACAGATGGAACTCAAATCTTAACTACACAGTACATAAATTTAAAGATCCTTCTATAAGGTTCTTTGGGAGAGTTTTTTGGGAGCTGGTAGATCAGCCCCTACCCTTAAGACAAGCTGCAGTTCAGCTCCTGCTTTCTGCCTCTCTGTCTCTGCTTTGATTCCTGTTCTAAAACTGATGTATGGTGCCTTCAAACTTTTCAAGTGTTCACTGACTTCTAACCCCAAATCAGCTGCATTTCCACGCTTGGAGCAGCAGTTCCTCCATGCTCCTCATGCATCCTTAGGTGGGTATGATAGAACCCTAAAATAAATCACATAACAAGCTTTAAAACACTAGTGGGAGACATTAGAGAAACTGCTAGTGTTGATAAAATTTTAGTGCTACAGGCAGATCTCATGTCTTCATTATTATTGCCCTCTTCAAACTCAAGATAAGATATATAATTTGAGCACTGGGTTAGATGCTACAACAGGAAAAGGACTAATTGCTCTGTTACAAAAACCTTCCAAGCAAGATAATTAAACCATGTACATTAAAAAGCACGCACTTTTAAGACTAACAAACAGATTAAATTCTCCCAGTAACACAGGGACAAGTTTTTAGCTGCTTTGAAGACACGTAATTTCTGTGACAACAGTGTCTAGAACAAACTATGTACCACTTACATCTATAGATAGCCAAACCTCCACAGATCTAGAAACCCTTGAACTCTGGGAAAACTTTGATCCAGTCCAGACTTTGTGGCTCTGATCCACTTCAGCTGGGACAGACCCAAATCTGCTTAAAATATATTTCACAACACATCTTTGCCTGCATTTTTTCCCAGTAGGTCATAAATACCACATGTAAAACCATTTACTCTCATTCACAACACCTACTAGCAGAGCCAGCTATTCCAATCTACAACCTAGAATGTTACACAAAAAAAAAAGAAAAAAGAAAAAGGAAAAATAAAAAGCCAAAAAAAAAGAAAAAAACCCCAAGTTTTAGATCAGTTGACTTTGCTACCAAGGATCAAGAAGAAAGCTAAGGTACTAAAATCAGCACAGTCAGAATATTTGGAAGAAATTCAAAGTGAGGAATGCCATGTGACAGGTACAGTGGGGAGCAGCTTGCAAAGAACAAACCAAGTCATCATTTCACTCTTGCTATCCCCAGAAAAAACAGACTCATTTGAATACAGTTTCTAAAGAGGCACATTATGCAAATCTACAATTTGAGGTGGGGAAGGGGGTTGATAATGTAGCAGCTTCATTCACTGTAGTAGGAAAGGTGAGATCACAAACCACATCATAAGGTTGTGGTTTTCAGATGACCTAGCTGAAAGTGACAAAACTAACTAAAATCCAAGGGAAATGGAGTCTGACAAGCTCTTTTGACTGCATTCACCACCGATAATTGAAAAACTGAGTTGTTAATAGCTTAAATCAAGTACAGCCAGACCCCAGATCCACAGATCATAGGATAATTCCAGAAGGAATGGACCTCAGGAGGTCAGACTGGGGTGCTTAGGGCTTTATCCAGTCAGGTCTTGTAAACCTTCAAAGACGGAAACAGCACAGCCTTCCTGGGCAACCTCTGCCCTTGCCTGACTTGTCCTTGGGGTGAAAAAATTTTTCCTTGTCTAATTTCCTTCTAACCTAATCTGAACCTCTCTATTTTACACACCCCTACACAGCACTGTGAATAGCCTGGATTTGTCTTCTGGATGATTTCTCCATAGTTACTGGGTGGCTTCTGTTTCTTAGGTGCTCCCAAAGATGTCCCTCTTCCAGGCTGAACAAGCCTGGTCCAACAGCCATTCCCCACAATGCAAGTGATCCAGTCCCCTGACTTTCCTGGCAATCCTCTACCAAACTCATTCCAGTTTATCAATATCTTCCCTGTATTGAGGTGCCTAAAACAAGGCTCCTGATTCCAGGTGTCGATTAACAAGTGCCAAGGAGAGGGTCATGATCACTTCCACAAATTTGCTGTCTATCCTCTTATAAGTTCAGGATTTTGGGGTTTTCTAGCTGCTAAGGCACACTGTTGCATTATGTCCTGCTTGTTGTCTACCAAAATCACAGGTCCTTTTCCAGAGTTGCTTCACAACTGTGCAGTCCTCAGGCTCTATTATTGCCACCAACCCTTCCCATGTGCAGGGCTTCACATGTCCTTGATGAATTTTCTAAGATTTCTGTTGGCCCACTCCTCCAGCCTGTCCAGATCCCTCTGGAAGGCAATCCTATCCTCCAGCATTGACAGGTCCTCCCAATTCTGTGTCCCTTGGAAATGTGAGTGCACTCTCTTCTCACTCTTCAATAAAGCTCCTAAGTAGGAAAGGACCCAGGACAGATCCCTTTGCCATTCTGCTTGTCACAAGACTGCAGTTAGAATAGGAATCATTAACCTCTACCTTCTGAACCTGATCCTCCAACCATTTTTTTTACCCATATAGTTGTCTGCCCATCCAAACTGTAGTACTCTTAATTTCTATATAATAATGTTGTGGGACATACCATCAAAAGCCCTGGTAACGTAAAGGCAAATGACATCCTCAACTCTCTCCTGCAACAAAAACAGTGAGAGTTCTGCTATTGAACTTCAGAGAACTAGTTGTAACTCTTGGCTCAGGAAAGACACACTGCAAACCATGGCTGGTGCACACATTCACAGGTTATTCTCCAAAACACCTTTGGAAAGTATAGGTTTGTAGTACTGGGATTCAGTAGTCCAAATCCTTAGCTGCAATAATCATCCCAGTTCCATTACACTCAGCCTATACACAGTATTTCATCTCAGATAATCATTCTGGGATATTATACACCTTATACTTGTTGCCTGAGCTCTATGTGCAGGTTGCACAGACAGGACCAAGGAAGCATCAAGGAGGAATAGCAAGAAAAACTAGAAAGACGCAGAAATTCCTCAGTTATCCTGGGAGATGCACAGATCCATTGTGTTCCTGTGGGGGTCTTTCTCTTACCTTTGCAAGGAAACTCCAGGCTGCATATTGCCCTGAGGTTGTGCTGCTTTTTAGCTTCACTGTGTGCAACATCAGAAAGAATCCCAACAGTCCACTGCAAGGGATGGGGAAACTTGTTAATAAAATCTTTTAATTTCAACTAAACAACTTTTTACAGGCATCTTGGTTTTCCTGATGAAGAACTGAAGTGTTAATCCCATTTGGAGAAAGCAAGCTGGTGGACAAGTAGCTTACATTATGTCCAGTACATCTAGTGTTTGCTCAGTCAGTGGCTAGAATCTGAATAAAGTAAGTCTGACATTCTTATGGCTGGTCTCTAATGCACTTGCATAATCAGAAAAGTAGAGATTATTGAAAACATGAGGGGAAATATTAACTTCAGGCATTGAAATGGCTCTGAATAACAGCAATGCTAATTTCAGCAGGAACCACACATATTTGGCAACTAACTCACTTCAACCTCCACAGAGCCTTGAACTGAAAAAATAACCACTGGAAAGTTTCTGCCTGAAGCTTTCAAGCTGTTTAAACTTCATGAAGCCTAAATTCCAATTAGGAAGTCAAATACATCTCTACTGTTTAACAAATAGATGGCTCAGTCGTGCTGGGAACAGGATACTCCAAAGTTCTCTGCTGACAATTGAATTAAGAGAAGTTTAATTCTCAAGTCATAGGACAGCAGTCCCCAGCACTCCTGTGGCCAAGACTATCCTTAAGGAAATTCTGTTCCACATCTCACCAGACCTTATAGAGTTAATGAGGTTTGGCTCTGGATTTTGTTTCACTTGTGACATATGTACAACCCACTGATTGTGAGCCAGTGGAACAGTGAAAACCAGCAAGCAGGGAACAGAAAGGGACTTCAAAATATGTAAGGCACAAATTAGTGTGAAGCATAAGAGATTACAAAGTGCTGTGGGAAGCTGCAAGGGAAAGGAGATAGGATCAACACAGCAGACAAGTGGTGAAGCAAAAAGTGCCTTGGTGTTCACAGAGGGTATTCTGTTCTGGATAGTGATGCCATGCAGTTTCCCCCCACTCTACAGCAGCAGGAAGGGTGGAAAATGGGTCAGAAGTTCTGTGCTGGGCTCCAGTATATCTTCCAAGTGCTGTTCCCAGCGCAATACATGTGGCCAAGATCCATCTCAGTTGCGTGTCCGTACAGGCACCAAAGAGTAGTGTAAGATAGCTTCCCAGGAGTAGAAGGCATTAGGAATTTTTGCATTGAGCCATAACACAAGATCCTTTGGGATGAGTGTGAAGTCTGAAGCCAAGGAAGTAGATGCTGCTTTGATGACAAAAGATAGGCCTAAATTCAGCAGCTTGCTGCAGAGGATGGAGTGCTGAGCAGTAGAGAATGCCACTCTGAGAAATGAGTGAGTTCACTCCATTTTAAGAATCCAGTAGCTTAAGTTTATTCCAGGTCTTCTGGCCTTCTGTGAAGGGCTTTCAGTCATGGAGATTTGAAGATATTTGGTGCAACTCCAGAGACAAAAAAGTGAAACAGCAAATTATGATACCTAAAATATTGATGCCACAATTAACATCAATTTATTTCATTAAATAAATTGAGTACATTGCACCTTACTGTTGATGCTTCAGACATTCTGCAGAGGCAGTAGATTTAGCTGCATGAATTGCCCTTACCTTTCATTGCATAGGTTTTCCACCAAATCCCACATATCTACAAAGACACTAGATTATAAAATGTAAGAGAGCAGCTGAGATGTTTGTTTCTCCATCTGACCATTCCTTTCCCCTTCCTGTAGTGTAGAGTGCTATCTACTATACATGTACTGAAGATGGGCCAATGGATTCAGAAGTGGGAAGCTACCACAGAGGTAAAGTTCTAATGGAGTGAACAAGAAGAGCATCTGGGCTAGACAGATACAAATTAGTGCCTGCAGTTAGATGTCACCTTCAAGAAAAAATAGATTTCACCTACCTAAAGAATACCCATTTGTGAGCTACTTGTAGTGTGGATAGATGACACTTGGAAAAACATAACAAAAACCTATGTACATTGGAAATTATTTAGCAGTCGTTCTAAATATCTCCTTTCAACAGAAAATCCAGATACAAGTCAGAAAATCCCTATCAGGAAATTTTTTTGCCATTAGTTAGCATGAAAATATATTTTTCCAACTCTTAAAAGATTACTTTAACTTGGTAGAAGACTTGGGGGGAAAGACAGGAGTTTTTCAATAAAAGAAGATCTATGGGAAACATTATTATGTTGTCCTGTGAGAATTATACCAACATGCAGTGAACTTTTGCTACTGAAAATAATGCAATGCTTGTTAAAGCTTTTCCTTTTTACCCAAAGCAGCATTCTGCCAAATAACAAGATGTACAGGCAAATAGATCCATGTACACCCATATACTGCTGAAGACTAATAATTAGCAATTGCTGCCGACAGCAAGTTTGGTCTAATCTGACTTCTGAAGCATTTGAGAGATGCTATGTATCAAAGCTTTGCTACATTGGGTAAACATTGTTTTACTGGTGACTGGGAGCTCCAGCAATCAGAATGCACTCACCCAAGGAAACGCACAGCGCATTTGAATCTCAGGCCATCAAATGCATACCCCACAGACATGCAAAGATTTATTCTTTGCAATTCTCCTGGCTCATGGCAGCAGAAACTAGTATAAGGAAGGCTTTACATGCTGCAAAGTTTTTAATTGAAAGTATAGGCAGGAAGTCAACTGAATCTCTTATTTTGAAAACATTTACATGACCTGTTATAGAGGTTACCTGGCACAGCAGCTGCTATGAAACCTGTAGAAGTACAGGAATGGAAAATCCAAGGCACTGAAGAGATCACCTGAGGGACAAAGCAATATACTCAGTACACGGTGGGAAAAAATTACCCACTGTTACAAGCAATGCAACAGCAATTACATGTACATTACTAGTTTAACATCCTCTGAGCCTTTACAGCTGGCTGACTTTTCATTTATGATGCTTTCCACATTTCTGGTGTGTTTAATGATTTCTCTCTGACCTTGCTTCTAGCCAGTTCTTGCCTTTGGTTGAAAAAGGGAAAAGGGATACCTAAGAGTATTCTTTGCTAGTATTCAGAAGGTCCTGCTTAAGCAGCATTTGCCAGTGGACAGACATATATCATATCCACTTCTTTTATTACACAGCGTGTGATGGCTCCTACTGAAATAACAGGAAACACAGACATATGGTGGCTGCTTCCCCCTCTGGCATTTGAACTCATAATACAGAGCATGTTGAGAGGTCTAAGTGGAGCTCTCAAGTACTTGTACTTCCAGGAACCTGAGCCTTCATTGCTCTTGGTGGCAGTTCCAGGAGTTCTTTGGCCGTCAGGATCTACAGATTTGCATGAAGCTCCATCTCTCAGTTTTTGAAATGCAGGACTGTTTGGCTTAACATGTATGTTTATCCTGGTGGGGGTTTGCTATATATACAATCTGCACTGGGAAACACCAGGAAAAAGGGTGAATTTATGTTTCTTTAAATACTTCCTTCTTTGTTTTTCTGGCTGAACAAATGTCTAATGAAAGCAACAGATGATCATCTTTACCCTCATAATTACGAACACACAAGAAAGTAAGAATATTAGCCACCATAAAATATTAAATTTCTCCATTTTTACCACCTGATGTGCTGCTACTTCAAATCCTGCCATGGGTCCAAGCAGTGGGATCCATGTATTGAAAGCAACAAAACAAAAACTCTGCATAGCAATGGGGACAATGCAGAGAAGGAAGCCCAGTTCTATATGGACTCCTGAGACTTTGCTCTGAAGAGGACATGTTAACTTAGAGAATCATTGTTCTTTACCATGCACCACCTCAAAAGCTGTTCTTTGTTGTCTGTCCCATACTGCTTGTTTGCAAAGGACAGCTAAGAATGGTATTGGGAAATATCATGCAATTTACACCAAGTTATATACTCTTCCCTTCCTACGTGGTAACATATTACTGGTCATATTCAGGGCTAAAATCCTGAGGGTTTGGTCTCTAAAAATATTCATAGAAAGCAAAAGCAACATGGAAATCTAAAAATGGAGGAACTCAGTTCACTTTACCTGCTGGATGGGATGCAGAGGCCAACAGCACTACACTAAAAAAAAAAATAAATTAATTTGATACTACAAAATCTATGACATGAGCTGAAGACTATAAATTGACAGTTCTGTGTTTGTTTTTTCATGGTGATACTTATTCCAGTTACGTAGAATAACTGAAATATAAGTATCAATTAAAATAAAACAAAAGTTGATTGGAAAGGAGTGTATGGGAGTCACCTAATAAAATTTCTGACCTGAAGCAGGACTATCACAAATATTTGATCATGCCCTCTGGTTCTGTCTCAAAAAGGCATGTGTCAAAAATCTACCACCACAGAGATTACACACCTCTCTGGGTAACTTGTCCTAAGGCCACTCTACCCTCGTAGCAAAGAAGTTTATCCTGCTGACCCATTTATTAAACCACCAAAGTTTCAATGTATGGTTGTTGTTCCATATTATGCTAAATATTGCATTTAGACAAGTTAAAAAACACATGAAAATAAAAAAAACGAACCAGCCTGAATGATTCACATGTTTCAGATACAAGTGAACAAGAAAACCAGCTGTGACCAGTTCTTTATCAGAAGTGTTATCACTTAAGTTTTCTAAGGTCTTACAAAGATTCACTCTTTTAAATTTGCAGTATAGATTGCACAGAGCCTTTTCTAGTGTTACTGATTCTTCTTGTAGACTTCTCTTCTTTTTTCTTTTTTTTTTTCAAATTTTTTATTCCAAATTGCTTCTAAGGTTAGAAGGCTACAGAGACATTCTGGGGCGCTGTGAGATTGGATAATCATGCATGTCTGTAGAGCTACAGCTTCTTCCAGTTACCAACAACATGCATCCATGACAAACACTAAGGACAAGTGGAAGAAGAAGACAGCAGTATCTCAAGAGTTTGTTTTTTGATAAGAAGCAAGCACTGCCCTTGCAGAGGTAAAAAGACACTCATTAATGTAATGAATGCTCCAGCATTCCAGGCCAGCTTCCTTTTCCAGTGTTCATGTAGTTACCATTTCCAAACCAGCTCACTCACAGCTGATCCCAGCTCTCTACATGACCATGCTTCCATGCTTGGTGACCTGCCCTTGGCAAGCTTTGGTGAAATCCAACATCATTCACAGAGTCACCTGAAACAAAAGGAGCTGCAAAAAGCATGGAATTCTCATGGCCAAGGAAGCCCTGGGGGGAAGTTTGCCACTGAAATCAGCTGTGGAACACAATAGGCTGAAGGAGAAAAGTGTTTGACGGACAGGCAGGCAGCTGTTTCAGGCTTCACATTTTAAAAGTATTTGAAAGGCATCACATGATACAGTACATTCACATTCTCAATATTTATGCACGTTTTTAAAAGTTGCTACTGCCACAAAGGTATTAAACAAGGCAAAGTAGATCATTTACAATAGGTAATTTGCCCTACCCCTCCTCCCCACACATGGGTGCCCCCCCTGTAAACGGATGCCAAGAGTAATTCACAATAAACAGGCCCAAATCCTCAGTTTCCTGGTAAAGAGAGAAAAGGAAGCAAAGGCCTACTGCTTTTGACTGAATAAGAGAAAACAGGAGACTGATAGGGCAAGTGAAACTCTATCAACAGTGATGAGAAGTAGGGCTAAACCATGTTTCTCCACTTGCTTTTTGAATATTTTGAACAAAAACCCACTGAGATTGGGAAATAGTCAGAGAGCAGCTTCCTTCTGCAGCCAAGAGGAATTGATAACCCTGGTGGACACCCCAGGTTTTGGTCCAAACAAAACAACGGGAGAAAACAAAACCTTAATTGTGAAGTGCAGGGCAAGTTAAGGCAAATGGATTAGATGGCATTACAGCTGCTCTGTAGCTCTGCTCTGAATGAAGCATCAGTAAAAAAGACACGATGATGCTGTAAAACCAGATTAGGGATTCAGAGGTTTCTAGCAGGACAGCCTGGATATGAGGCTGCAGCAAAAACAAATTCCGTGTGCTGGATTTCCCTGCTCCTCTCTTTTTTCCCCTGTATTCAATACTGAGGGCTGGGTCACTCGTGGTTTCCTTTCTGGCTAAAAAGAGGTTTTGTCAGCAAGAACAGCAATTTATGCCTGCAAAGCTGCCCTCTTCTATTGCAGAAAATCTACTGCAGCATTTTTAATTCACAAAAGTGACAGATTAGCAGCTCTTCCAGAAGCCAGATGTAGTTTTGCTGTATACAGTAGAGCCTTTACCTCCTACCTTTGTCAGTGCTGTTTATCCACCATTTGAAATGCTCCTGTATCTGTTTTCTCCTCACCAAATGCTGCTATGCCATCTGGGCATGCCTTTGTGAGCAAATTTCAGACAGTGACAGATATTGTAATGTACTGGAAATTTCTTGCAGGTTCTTCACGAGAAGTAAAATATCTCTACCTGCCGCAGCATAGGAGAAAGCCCAAGAGGAGCTACAACCTGCTTGTAAGACAGGTCTATGTCTCCCTCAACATGCCAGGCAGGGATTACTACCCCTCCCCTCATGCTACCCTTCACCAGCTCAGGGGGAGAAATATGGCTCCTCCTTTGATAAAAAGTGAGGAAACAGAAAGCATAAAAGCAAATGCAAGATTATGAGAAAAAAACACTAGGAAGTAGAACACTAATGCAGAAGTTAGAGTACAGAGAAATACAATACTGCAGTTTAAAAAAGGGGGTGGGATCAAGAGGATTGGAGGATTAGAGGCAGGATCTTGAAAGAACATTGAACCTCTTCTCTTCCTCCCTGCCCCAGATGCACAAGGGAAAGGGATGAACTGGATGGGGCTGGGCACTGAGAAGCAGCATTACCCCTCCCTTCTCTGCATAGCACAGTTCTGCTTTCCCTCCTACACTTGTTCCTGGCCTGGCTCCCCTTTTAAAAGCCATTGAATAATCATGCTGGAAATGATGAAGTGAGAAGAATGCCAGACTTTCAACATCAGCAAATATTTCTTCAGATCTGCTTGATTCTGGAAAGTTCCCATTCATGTACATTTACTTAGGGTGTTCTTTTCTCCCAAACTATTCCAGATTTTAAAACAAGAAACAGTGCATGGTGTGTAAGGACAGCATATGTTAGCAGACTGCTCATTTCAGTTGCACTTCTGGAAGCATCCAACAGAGCTTTTTCTTTTATATAAATACATATATTTTTACTCTAACATATTGGTAGATTATAACATCCAGCAATTTATGGCAGATCTTTTAATCTGCTCCATGCAGACAGTCTCTACACTCAGTAGTATACAACTGTGCTTTCATACTGAACTGAGAAACACTTTGAACGGCTTCTATTACAATAATCCTATGTTCTTTTCCTATGTATTAGAAAAATTTCTTCACTAAAAGGCTTTGGAATCAGGCATTGTAATAGGTTTCACAGGGCAGTATTTGAGTCACCATCCTTAGAGGTATTTAAGAGACGTGTGGTACTTAGGGACCAAGGCTCAGTGGTGGGCTTGGTAGAGCTTGGTTAATGTACTCAATGACCTGAAGGGTCTTCTCCAAGCTAAAAGATTGGATGATTCTAAACTCTGTCTGTGCCCACACAGCTGCATGTCAGCTGACTGATCTAGGTTAGAAATAAGGAGCTTTAAAGACCTATTGATAATAGTGTTAAGAGGAGAAAGTCGCACTGATACCGCACTATCAAGTTCCTTCATAAATCATAGAACCATAAAATCATGCTTGGATAGAAAGACCTCTAGTACACATTAAACTGTCCTGTCCTCAAGGTGGAACTGGGATCCTATCATGGCCAGAAGAGTCCTTGAGAAGGCCTGAGAAGGGGAAGCATCATATATCTTAACACCTTCTAAATCACAAAATTTAGTACTGGGCGCTGTCTGGCAGAGATAATCCATCTTTACAGTAATTTTAACCCAGAGCTGCCTGTGAGGAGTTAGTGCTCATTCAGAGACCATTCCTTTTGTTAGTGATATTTAAAAGTAGTTTTGATTGTTTCCTACAGAAATTAAGTTTCTGCAGTAAAGCTGTGTGTACACAGCTCCACACAGCTCTCAAACACGCTGAACAGATTCATCCAGATTTGGGAAGCAGCAGTGATCTCTCAGATAACCATATGTGCAGAGGTCTCCCACACAGACAAACCTGCCAGTGTGTCCTGCAGCAGAAGGATTTTAGTCCCATTAGACACCACATCATGGTGCCACATGAATGAGATCTCCTGCCAAATTTTACACCCTTTCAAACATCATTAGTTATTTTGACAAAACAAAACTCTAAAAGAATTCAGATGTCACTTATCCCATTGTCCATGGTGCTGCCTGTTTTCCCTAGGTAAGATGAGATTCAAATGCTATAAATTGTGAGCTTTTCTAACACATAGAAGTATATATACCTACAGATACATAAGCATATAGATATGCACAGACCAAACCAAACAAATAAGTATCTCATTTACTACCTCCCTTCAGCCAGCTGTTTTCCAACAAGTTTCTTTGCATCATCATCTTGTAAGCAATGCTGAACTTAAAGCCTCTTCCTGGGGAAAAACTGGAAGCTTTGATAACAAGTTTTTGCTTTTAAACAGATGTTGAAAATAGTGAATTTCCAATTTGCATAAATCCATTGTTGGATTGTTTGTTAGTGTGTTTTCTGTAAAAAGAACAGTTTAAAATATACACCATTGCACCTCACAGTTCCTTAGCAAGAAGTTTCTCCCTTTCAAAAGCTTCCAACAAAATTATCATACTTTCCATGTAATGTGGGACTCCTGCTCTCTGCTGGACACAAGTTCACAGACTTCAAAGGACCAAGATCGTGAACTAACAGAGAAGCAGCCCAGCCCTGACTTTTCAATCAAAGCTGAAATATTAAGGCCTTCAGCCAAAATCTGAGTTTAAAGGTTCAGGCCTAGATGCAAATTTCAACTAAACTGACAACTGAGAGATAGTCAGGGAGCTGCCAAACAAAAAATCACTTGATTTTACTGCTTCATTCATGATTTCCCTTCAACACAGAGAAGTAGCTAGATCTCATTCCAGACTTCATAGGTTATTTTTGCATGTGGCAGCATATTTGCAAATTCCATTACTAATTCTTCCAAAGTTTCAATAAACACACCTATCTTCTTTGTGCAAAATTGATTTGCTTCACATTTCATAGTAGATGGAAAACAACTGACTTAAACAAGAGCCTACTTCAAGCAAACTGATATCCAGATATTGTCCATTAATGGGACCCTGGTGAATCATAAAGGCAAAAGCAGAGGCCTGCATTACGTACTTATGGAAATAGGAGATTTGATTGAACTAAGATAGAAAGAGACACACAGTGTTATCATATTGATGATGCTCACAAGATAAATGGGAATTTAAAGGAAGCAACTGTCCTACACTGGTGTCCCTGATATACCTCTGTCAAGGATCTTTCATGTGGTCAGACAAGAGCATATATCCATCTAATCAAATAGACTACCCCAACTTCACTTTTGTTATGCTTATTCCTAGCTTATGGTCTCTCTTTCATTCCTTCTGACCACAGAAGGAATTTCTTTGAATTTATTATTCATACTTCATCGTATTCCCAAATGACTTTAGGTATGAATTGAAGAAGAAGCAAACATATATTAGGTGTGATTTCAGATGGAGGAGAATTGAATCAAGTCTCTAGATGCCCTACTTGAAATAAAGCCTCACAAAAAGCCAGCAGAGGACATGTACACTGAATGTCCTGGTTTGTCATTCTTTGAAGACAGGACTGGATTTAAAAAAGCAGGGGAATCTGGTCAGTGACACAGACTCTTTCACCAGCTACAAAATAACAAGCCATTTTTATATCTCCAAATCAGAAAAACAACTGAAAGTCAGAATTACTCAATCCCACTAACAGCACTTTGAACAATCAGTTACTGCTCGTGTTCTCTGCACACAGTACTTTTGTAATCACTCCCTCCTCTTCTGGCAATTTTGTACAAGTTTTATTTTCTGAAGTGGGGTATTGTCAGGGAGCTACTCTGTAAATATTATTTCTGGAAGGGATAGATCACTTCTAGTGCACATGGTGACTTAAAAATTCATAATTAACACCTTGTTACCTTCTCAGGTGTATATTGGCATATCCATCTGCAACTGGAGCCAAAAAAATTAATCTGCTAAGCCATTCAACTTAGCACTGTTCTTTCAGTGAATGTCCTGCTAAATAAATACATTTAAGGAGTGGTAGCTGTCAGTTTCTTCAACAAAGCATGGTTGAAAATAAAAACATATAACACATATAACCAGCTATGGTGTATCAAAGACTTACTCATTTTACCTGAATACATAGTTGATGTACTGTTGGTCCAGATCACTTTGAGAGGAGGGAAAGAAACAGAAGGGGTTTTCTTAGCAATGCACTTCATTTGGTGTAACAGATCAGTATATTAACCAGTAATATACAGCAATGCTGTAATAGTACATTATATTAATTTATATAATACCTAATAAGGCTAGTATTGGGTAATACTTAATAATAACGTAATGTTATAATTATATACATTATAAACATAAAATAGTAATAATCTTATCAATGTTGATTATTTAATTATTAATTAATTATCAGTTAACCAATATATATTAATTCACACAGGATCCACACATTATTTTGTTGTTACTGTCAGCAGGAGTTTCATTTAACGTGAAGATAAAGTGAGACTGATTAAAATTGAGACCCTTTAACCAGGGATGGAAAATGGTTTTGAAATACATAAGCTTATCCATGAATGTATATTATACATCATATGCAGTGTCAACATATCCATCCCCTTCCATAAAGAAAACTGCAGATTACAGACACTGTGAACATGCAGTGCCACCTGATTCCAAGAATTCTATTGTGTGGTTGCAGTTCTAACATGAACATGGGATTAGTGCAAGGTTTCAAGGTGTTTAAGGTACCCAGCCATTCCCATCCTATGGTAAGTCACCAGCTGCTGAACACTTTTGAGCGTGTCACAGAGGGAGATACTAACAGATTCAAACCATGCAGCTTTCCACTTGAACACAGAAAAACACTTCCTCTTAACACCTGTGCCAGTAATTAGGGGTTCTTTTTCCAGGGCTGAGTCATCACCCTTGGGTAATACATTGTTTAAAACTAATTCAATGTTCCAGTTAGCAGTATAACTACCAATAACCACATGCTGTTGTTACCAACAATAAATAAGGCTCGTCTTGCAAGAGAAGTCATTAATGATTAACCAGGAGTGGCCCAGCTCCTGCCGATCATGCAGAGCTCCCTGCATCAGTCATCTCTCTTTATAAGAAGAATAAGAAAACACAATTACCTTAAAGATCCAGGTTTCCACAACTTGTGAAATACTTTGTAAGCCCCTGTAATTGAAATGACATGTGTAATTGCCATATCATGCAATCATTCTGACAAACGAGAGCTTGTTTGGCCATGGTACTAGCTGACATGGAACCCCTCTGAATTACAGTTTAGCAACACAGCACAAAGGATTCCTAAACCATGAGTAAAATGAACCTATTGCTTCAAATTAATGGTTTTCAAGGTGCTATCAGCTCTGAGCACAGTGCTTTGTGGTTCTGAGTGCTCTTGTCCTTCTGAGGACAAGACATCTTCTAGCTCACAGCAAAAACAAAGGAGAGATTGTGTGTGTGCGTGTGTGTATGGTTTTGTGTGTAAATGCACACAGAAAAGTGTCACAGGATGGGTTCTTCAGCCCACATCATTTTGGGGGTAAGTCCTATGATATATATCTTCATCTACATAGAGCTATTTGCTCTAAGCCATTTTTCTTATTCAGAGTTCTCTAGTTCTCTCCACTCTAGGGTCTTCAGGTCCTTTACATTCTTGACCCACCCATCTACCTCTTGTTAGCTTCCATTTCTGTCCTGGCTAAAAATTTAAGCACTAAAAAAATGACACATCTTCGGGCTCTGTTTTTTCAGACCCTTTCTTCAAGGCTTTGGGGTAATGTTTTTGATTCACAGAGAAAACCAGAAAATGAAAAGTAAATCCAGTAGAACACTATGAAACAGATGTTCTAAATTCTGCCTCCATTAGACAAGTTGAAGGGTAGAACACACATCCTTTCTGTAATGTTCTGTCTTGATTTACTATGCAGTAAGTTATTTCATCTGTTTGCCCTTTCTCGTAGCACCTTCATTTTAGTTGATAGGAAATCTAATTACACAAATATCTCCCAACAGCCATATCAACAACCCTCAAAACCAAGAGAAATGGAAGGCAGCTATATTTTGAGCATAAACATTATGTTGGCACTTCCCACACATTTCAGACACACAAAAGAAGCATTCTCTGAAGACTCTCTAAGCAATTTTCCACCTCTGTGACCAAGCACTGATTTACAAAGGAGACCCGTTGGCTTTGAGAAAGCAGGAACATCAGTCATTACAGCAAACAAGAATTTGAAGTGGAAAATCCATAGCTTTTACTTTTATCTCAATGAGCAAATGTTTACCATATAATATTTCTCAAAAAAAATCCCAAAACTATTTCTCATTTTTATGTTAACAACATTTCAGATGGGAATCTCTAGCCCTCCCTAGACAGGAATACATATAAACACATTACCTCTGCCCTAAAAATTTTACTGTATGAATAGAAGAAATAAAGAAAGACTCATCCCTAATCTGCAGGCAAGACCTAACATACGAATGAGTCACTCACTCAGTATATAGGACAGATAAAAATCAAATACAAGTCCCTTATTATCCACAAAAATGCTCCAAAAGACAAAAATCTCCTAGTAATTTGGGCCTGACTGTTTTTAGCTTTTCAGGGAATGGCTACAATTTATCCAAATCAATGTTTGTCTGGAAAAAAAAAAAAAGAAAAAAAGGAAACCTGATAGGTTATGCAACTCATTGTTAGAATTTTTTAAAAATGCATATGATTGCCTAAAAAACCCCAGCATTTCAACATCCTTCCTCTGGAACAAAAGTCCATGATATTTTAGTATGTTTTTGTCAGTTTTAAATAAAATCTTTGTGTGTAACAAAGCTCCAAGTACAAGTTATTGCTTGTTTTCTTCATGTTTCTTCTCCCCTCAGAAAGAAGTCTCTCTCAGTAGGCAACCATCAAAAAACAAGCAGAAAAGCTTAGTGCTGATTAAAATTGTATGTGCATTTTCTCATCCCCTGTTAACAGACTGCAATATGTAGTTTGTTCTGTTGTTGTTTTCAACATAAAAGCTATAAAAAGAATGCACTTTCTTATATTTACTGATCTTCATTCTTTCCAAGTGTTTCTTATGTATAGAGTCTCAAATACCAGTAACTTCAAAATAAAGCCGGTTTCTCCAACACATTTACTCTTCGTAATTCTTTTTCTAGAAGAAAATTACTTACCAACACAGATCAAGTGAATTAGAGCCCATGAATATCCATTTGGATCAAACTGCAATAAAGAACATCTACATAAATAAAAGCACGGTCATGTAAATATACATATTGCAATTTCCCTGCAGTTAGCTTTGCAACGCAAGTCCAGCGAGTGGGAGCTGTGCTACAAAGAAAGGGAAGATGACTAAAGAAGACTAGGAAGACTGAAATTCTTCCTGTCACACTCAGAAACCTGGCATATGCCAATTATGCAGGCTCTCAGCTCGTCTCAGCAAGGATAATTCTATTTCAGAAATGTACAGCAATTTAAGCAGTCTGAGCATATGGACCCCAGCCTATTTAGTCTTGTATTGGCAATCAGGGACGGGTAAGGCAAGCAGAGGACCATCACAAAGGTTTTTGTCTTGTCTCCTGTCCCCTCTGAGCCTCTGCAGCCACTGAACAGTCTCTACCCAAGGCTTTAACTAAACAGAGTATCCAAGAGAGCTTCAAATGGACATTTGTCTTAGCAAAGCAGGCCCTCTTCACAGTCAGTAGGGAAAATCAAACATTTTTGAGAGGAATTCATCTGGCATATTTTAGGTGTCTGCTTTCAGGAGAGGTGAATTATGTACAAAGAGATCCTGCTCTGCACCATGGACTATGAAGAGAGCTAGTGCAGGTGCAACATTTCCAATAACCACATTTGATCAGATTTATCCAGACAACTTCCAGACTCATCTGACTTCAGAGGTGTTTAAAGCAAGGAAGCAGCTTTCCTAAGTTTCCAAAAGAGAATCTCCAATGAATAGATCTTTGCTAGATGGAGCAGTCTCTGGAGGTACCTCCTTTCTTTCTCAGGTAGCTACAGAAAGTGTGTACAGTGAATACAAAACTAATTCAGGATCTTCCTGAAAGTACACACAATTAATTCAACCCTAAGCAATTTGCTGTAAGCCCTATTAAGAAGTAAAATTGTGGTTTCCCCAGCCAACACCTTCACCAAAAAGCTGTATGTCCACACTGCTCAGAGGTTTTACCATGATGCAAACAGAGTAAACCTAGCAAGACTACAACACAGCACGAAGAAAAAATTACAATTGCATTACAGGAATCCTACTGTAGTTTACCAGTTAAAGCTTCATCCCTCATATGCTAACACGATGTCAAGCATCAAGACCTGGCTAGAGCTGCTTTGCAAAACAGAGCTCACCTGTGTGTCACACAAAGGAAGGCACACTGCTGCTGCCAGGAGGAACAGCACACTGTGGAGAAGAGAAAGAAAAAAACCCTGCAAGACCAAAAGCTTTCAACCTGGATTAGTACACAGAGCAAAACAGAGGCAATTCTAGTCAATTTTACACTGACTCTTTACTTGTTTAATTTTCTTATTCCATATTTAAAAAGTAATTTCTGCCATCAAAAGTTTTACATCATGCATTCTTCACAACTTGTACACAACAAAGTTTTATGAGAAGAAGCACAAAACACCTCAAAAGTGATAAAACCAAGGTTTTTTTGGTAGAGAATATTTTTCTTCATTAGCCATCTGGCTTCCCTACGTTTTTTCAGAAAGCCAAAATCAGCCAATTTCTGACTGAATGGCTACCAAAAACTTCTTTCATTAAGATGAAAATATTAAGATGCCTATTAGAAGAATTCCATCAGACATGACTCCATTACAAATGACATTGTTACTTCAGAGCGCAGAGCAAGGTGGAAGTGACTGGTTTTATACTGGAAATGTCTTAAGAGCACAAGTCCTCTCCTAGAATTAGGCTAAATAAATTCTTTACCTGTGGCTGAATCAGGATTTCTTCAAGCTACATAGAATACACTGATAAGGAATTTCTGTGGACTGTCATTATTAATATTAATATACACTTTTTTCAGCTTATTTTCCTACTCTTTAAGGGCATGGGAAAAGACAGAATATAGATTATTTAAAAAAATTGTATCCTTGACAATATTCCAGTGGTGAAGACAAGGCCACGGTAAGTCAGATAATGGAAACAACAGGAAGAAATTAGGAAGATAATGCCTCTAAGTACACTAAATAATAACCCAACATTATCCATTCTTAAGTACAGCTAAAAGATTATTTAGGATAATAAGGATAAAAAGGATGTGGAGGGCAGTAAATATCCATTCTTCAAGGGATGTGGGGCCATAGAATCAAACTTTAAACACACGACTGTTTGACTTTTGTTTGTCCTTTTCCATCTCCTTTTTGGAGCCTAAACAACCAGGGCAAACAAGGGTTGGTAGCTGTGCAGCTTAATATCACAGAATCACAGAATCATGAAGATTGGAAGAGACCTTCAAGAAAGTTTGTCCAACCTTCAACCCAGCACCACCATAATCACCCTAAATCATATCCACAAGTGCTACATATCCATATCCAGACAACTCTTGAACACTTCCAGAGATAGTGATTCCACCACCGCCCTGGGCAATTTATTCCAGTGCCAAACAACTCATGTAGTGAATTCTTTTTTTTTCTTCTAATATCTAATCTGAACCTCCCCAGTGCAATTAAAGGCCACTTCCTCTTGTCCCTTCACTTGAGATACAGGAGAAGAGACTGACCCCCACCTCACTATGAATGATTCTAGCAGAGATGGATCTCATTTACCTTTCATTTCTAGGGAAGGGAATTTTTAGCTACTTTCTAACACATCAATTATTTTTCTCTTACTGTTTATGATTATCCTCTGGAACTTCAAACCTTCCAAACCTTTCCAAATGCGTTGTTATGGGCACTGTTTTTTCATTAATCTAATTTTTGTAAGGAGAAAAAACATATCAAACTATTCAAGCGATTGTTAAAAAAAAAATAAAAATAATTACTCCTATGTTGCAATTTAGGCTCACCGCCCACAGGAATGTGCCTTACATTCTTCATTGTTTTGGTGTGACATTATCTGAAGCAAATACAGAAGCTGGAGCCAAAACAAGTCTGAATCTGGATCTGAGTAGTTTTAAAAGCTTACCTACAGACTTTCAGATGAGAGATCTGCTGTAAAAGAGAAAGGATGATTAAAACATTAAAATTTAATTATAAGAATGGTAAAACAGTGTTTTCACCTTCCAAAAAACTGGAAAGTGATGACAGCTGATCTTACCGCACCACACACATTTAAACGTCAACAAGCAACATTCAAAATTTGAGCACTGCTTAGCAAATTAAATTTGATAAAGAAGAATTAGGATTATGGATCAGGCTACTTCACCTTGATTTATATTTTCAGATTACTTACCAGCAAATAAACCTAAAACTAGACATGAACTTCATACCTCCTCCTCAAACTTGATTTGAATTATACCAAAACTTTGTAACATATGTACTCAAATATTGAGTTTTCCTAACTGGGTACTACCTCATACAAATCAGTCTTGATCAAAACTCATCAAATTTTCCCAATTCTTTGATATGAAATTATTCCTGAGAAGCTTCCAGTTAGTCCTGTGTTTGTATTATCCTTGTCTGTACTGCTTTTGTTTTTAAATAGAGGAGTCATGAGCTTGTGACAAAGAAGGAAAATATTAAACACTTTGAAAGGGACACTAATCAGAGGACAATGACACAGAGACATGCCATGGTACACACAGCTATGTTCCTTAGGCATAGCCTTAGTGATCTCTTCTGTTTGTTAGACGAAGTAAACACTCATTTATCTGACTTCTATACAGAAAACAGCTATAATGAATGGAAGCTGACTTTCACAGCAAGCCAGAGGCCACTGTAGAAACAACTTTATGATGAATGATTTCCCAGTGTTAATTCACACAGAAACTCTGCAGTCAGTTAGAAAAAACGTTTCAAAAAAAGACTAAAAGGAAGTCTTCCCAATGCAGTTTGTGAGAAAAAAACCACACAGCTCTTATGAAAGAGTACAGGAGTTAGTCTCCTGACTTTCATAGGGGCAGAATCTCAAGTATTCAAAACAAATTTAAAAATGCACCATTCTTCCTGCATTTTATGTGGAGATGTGACCTATCTGTAACCATACAATACATGAGATTTGTTATACTGATTAGATCTAAGGACATAGTCCTCATTCCTCTCAGCTCAAACAATGAGATTTTTATGTGGGGCATGAGAGAGAGGGAATATTTATTTTCAAAAGCAAAAACCCAGCAGGACCAAGCCAGTCTCTTAAAGTACAGATCAGGCTGGTGATATGATATTTTCACCAACTAAAGAGGAAAAGGAAACATCAGTATAGATACTTGTCAACAGCAAGAAGCCCTCTCTGGGTCTCATTAGTGAGTAGCTATTACAGTGAGTCTAGAAAAGTGCATGGCACTAATGCCTGTATTAAGAGAAGTTAGGTATCTTGTTCTGGGGCAGTTCTATCACAGGATTTACCTTGACTGATAGATCAATTACCTCTTTCTGCACAAACTTCTGGAACCCGCAGGATATGACTTCCGCCGCGTTGTGCACGATGAGGAACACCGGGATTGGCTGCCATGGGGAGAGAACATAAGTGCCCAAATCAACCCAGAGCAGTCACACACATAGCAAGGGACCCTCCTCCTAGAGACAGCTGTCCCACATGTCTGTGGCTTGGGGCATTGCTTTTGAAGCTGTAAACCTATGCCACATCACCTAAAAGAGACTTAATACATCCCAATCACTAGCACATGGGCACAGGCATCTTTAAATGCAGACCCTGCTGCAGACCTGCTTGCTGTGTCTCCCACTGCTGAGTGCTCAGTCTGTTTGTACCCAGCTACCACAGTGAGATTTGCTCCATGTTTTGATTTGCCTCTAGTTTTCCCTCTCTGGTCTAGGATCTTCAGCCTCTACAGTAAACTGTTCTCATTTGTTGTCCCACCTCTGTCTGCTGGTACTAAGAATACAGTGTGACTCTTAGCAACAGAATTGCGGGCAAGATGATTTTAGGTGATTGCTTTCAGTTACTGCTAGGAAGAGCTGCCCAAAATTAGGATAGAAATGCAATAATTCATACACAAATGATGTTGAAATTATACCCACTGAGGTATCTGGACACCATCCCAACATGAAATCATTAAGAAACAAACCCCAGTGATAACAACAATGAATCAAGCACCCACTGCCCCGGGCAAACCCAACCAGAATTAGTGGCTGATAATACTTCCTCCAAATCAGATCCATAGTCTCTCAGACAGCTGAAACAGAAGCAATTCTTTGCTCTGATTAAGATAATCTAAAGACTAAACCATTTTAGGAAGCAGTATTTCCCCACTTGTGTAAGGTATTTAAATCACAGTAGCAGAGAATGAATTAATTTCTCAGTGATGTCCAAACTTTTAAGTATCAGGTGATAAAAGCAACAAATATCTCTCAAATGTGACTTTGCATATTTTCTGTAATTTTCTTTTCTTTGACATAAAGCCAGATGAGCATTGCTCATTAAACATTTTAAGTCACAATGACAACTGGGGCGGATCCACAGCCACAACAGTTGCACCAGAATAAGAACAAAAATCACACAAACACAAGTGGCATAAAGTTGTTGGACCCAGCTTCACTAGTACTGAAAACCAATTCTCAACCTTGTAGCTGGATAACTGGGAAAATAAACCCAGAAGTATTTAACATAAAAGTACTCTGAGCTCGACACAGTAATAGGAAATACAAGAAATACCCATAAACAAGGAAAGTTGACAGCAGAATTTACATTCTTCCCTTTGTGAAAGTAAATTTGTTGGGTTTTTCTTTCCTCCCTTCTGCTTTTGGCTCTTCCAAATGTGTTTTAGAGCCAACAATGGCTCCAGTTCGCCTAGCCCAGTTAACCTTCTCCATATGTCTATTGCCTTTGATGCAAGTATTTCTTAAATTTGTGAGTGGGCTTAATGATTATGAAAAGAAAGGTTTACTGTTTGGGAAAGCAGGGTGAATAGACTCTGCAAAAATCTCCCCTCATGGCTCTGCATACTTTTTTTAATCATCACAGTCCAGAGCTAAGCAGTCCTCCTCCAGTTCTAGCCCTGAATTCTTGGTCTGGGGTGATTGCCAGCTCCTCTAGGAAGAGGCACAAACAGAGATTAAAGTTGTAGCTTTGCCAGTATACGGGAGTGTTTGAAAGTGGGTCCCCTTGGATTTGATAATAAAAGTACACATAATTTCTGCTTTAGGAATAAACCCACTTAATTAAAATATGCTGTTGAGATGAACCAATTCAGCTATGAGTTTGGGAGAGTCCACTTTCATTCTCACTGTGCCATAAAATTGTTGTACACAGTCATTGTGAGTAAAGCTTCTATGTAGGGTTGAATTTAGCTCCACTACAAGGCAGCACATAATTATGGCCTAAGAGTGCTTGCACTTTTGTCTTGCCTTGTAAAATGGCCACAGAATTAAATCTCTAAATCCCCATTCATGTACAACAAAAGCCATTAAGAAATGTGAGATGCACCTTAAGGAAGGCTTGGGATACAAATCAAAACCCTTCGCAGCCCTTCTGCCACTCCAGTGCTGTTCAATCATGAATGACCAGAGAAGGAACAGGAGGTAAATACAGTAACTTACAGGATGACCAGGTAGTAAGTATAAATAACAGAGAGAATGTGATTCTTACCTCCTCCACCACCCAGGTGAGCAAGCAGAAAAGATACTGCTGCCAAAGCTTTATTGGTGCTTCCATACAGTACTTTCCTTAGGGAACTTTGCTTACCTTACACCAAACAAGCCTCATGGAACTTCCTTTGACAAGGAACCAAGAGGAAGCAAATGCAATCACCCTGAGACAGAACTAATCTGAGAGCATGGGGCTTCTGAGAACAAGATAATTTGGGTCCAAGATAGGGCCCCCAAACCTTGCTTACAAGGACAGAGATCTCCTGTTCTTTTCTGCTCTATCTCTCTATTTGGATTTTCAAGGGATTGCTACAATCAGAATCTGGTAAAAACAGTCCCTTTTGATCCTCCTTGGGGCTGAGGAGGTAACAGGAGCAAGCTGGCTCTGGAGTTTCATTAAGATGTATTGACAGAATGCAGAAGGAAAATAGTGCAAGATCTGAACTTACAGACCGAATAACAGCATCAAAACATTGTTATTTAAAATTCCACCAATTTATTTTATTTTTTTTAAGGACAACTGTATAATTTAAGCATAAAGCATTCAAGTTTCATGAAAGCAGATTTGACATTCTGAAAACATTTGGTAAGTTACTGTGATGTAAATGAATCATAAAATGGAGTAATTTAGCCCTTCCCATAATCTCTTTCCAACTTTCTATTTATTTTTTCAAATTCTGCAAAGAATCAAAACCTTCTTGCTGAAATGGTCTTCATCAATTTCCTGGAAGGATTTCCCACAGATCCCACAACCCCATTCCGCCTATTGCAAAGTTACAGCTACTGATTTCTTCAGCTTCTTCCCTACTTGTACAGTTCAGACCACTGAGGATCTGTTAAGCAAAACACTGAGAGATCTATTTCTCCCTACTCTAGAGAGATGCAGAGTGCTTCAGACTGTCACAGAGATGCTTTTTGATACTTAGTAGGATTGGACCGCTGCATTAACAATGGATCTATTATTTAAACCTCTCCTCCCTCCTTCTCCCTCAACCCAGGAACAGCATTAAACACCATGTATGAAGGGAATGCTCTTTTTTTACAAAGTAGAGGTAATAAAGAACTGACTTCTACTTGTTAATTTCTTACCAATCTAGACAGTGCCCTGGAGCCGGCATAAATAGTGCCCACAAAAAGCACTGATGCAGGAAGCCATGACAGAATTTCAGACCTGTGAAAACAATCAAAATCCCATTGTTTCACCACATTCAGTTTACATACAGAAAGCTGCTTGAAAGGAATGTGATAATATATACATATGTAAATTAATTTCAGACATGTGCGTATTAAAGTCAGTATCTGATTGTTCAGTATTCCTCCATTTACTAAGGAATCCAAGTCAGAAATTATACATTTTGTCTAATACAAGCGAGAAACTAACTGCAGATATATTTTCTTTGCTTTATTCTTTCCCTAGCTCTTCTCCCTCCAAAATCATATTTTTTTTTTAATCTCCCTTAGGAATTACTCCCATTATTATTATAGGAGAGATATTTCAACTAGTTTCCTTGATGTTCTGTAAAAGGAATGAAACCTGACAAATGAAGGCATAAAATGGCTCACTTGCACAGACAGCACACATTTTCACTATGTACAAATACACTTGGCCACCCACACATTCATTTCTCAGCCAGACTTACAAAGAGATTCTTCCTAAAGATCAGATTGTCTCTGTGGAAGCCTATCTCTTGAGATTTCCTAATGATATTCCTTTGACTAAGCCAAACTCCTAGAGGCAGTTTGACAACTAATGGAGGAATGAAGTCATCAGATTGATCAGATTAAATTTTTTTTTAGCCATGGTTGCTGCAGTAGGGTCAGGTTTCAGTTCTGAGAAGGGGCTTCAGAACTTGCACTTTTTCTGGTTTTGATCTTGTTACCAAAAGGAAAAAAGGGATCAGGTAGGTGGTAAATTTCAGAGAGAATAATGTAAGATTTTGGGCAAGAAAAGAAAGGAATAGCCACGAGGTAAAGGCCTGAATCAAGGGCTTCCTGGGACTGAAGACATGACTGCCCCATTCACTTTTCCCAAGCTTTGAATTAAAGTGGAGAAACATTAGTGGGCAGTGCTGGTCCTCAAAACAAAACCATACTGCTTCTAGTTCCTTAGTTTGCATCATACTTCAAATAAACATGTAAGACATGGAATGTAATTATAGATACTGGTAGATCACCACACTTCATGGAACACAAGAAAGCAGACCACTAAACAACAAAATCAGAACACTATGAAGGAAGATAAAACATGTGCAAAGATTCATGTAATCACAGACAAGGGAAAAACCATAAATGTCACTTTTCCTCTATCATATGTATATAATTTTCCAAGATAATCAAAATCCCAGGGTCACAAAAATAATCTTTAGATTCTTTCACTGGCATAAATATTTGTTCTGGGTTTTCTTGACTAGCCACCATAAATTTTTATAAAAACACTGTTTCTTTTGAGGTTATTGACTTCAACTGGAATTTCATCAAGACCAAGATCTAATACTGTCATACCTCATTACCAATGAATTCACATCAGATACCAACAAAAATACTACTGCACTATTGGAACAACAACAAATTGAAGAAAGGGGGAGGGAAGAAAAGAAAGTGGGTCTGGGAAGATAAAAGGAACACACGATGAAAAACAAATTTTCATTTAGAACATAAGAAAATCACTCTTTCATGTTCCCCACAACTAAATTGTAGGAATCCCAAATATGTCTTCATTTCTAATGCAATTCTGTGAACTGCAATGGAAAAGGACTTCAGATGCTTTTTCCATGATGTAAGGGTAGAATTTTATGCTGCCAAGTGGGAATTTCAGGACTGAAAAAGAATGCACGGATGTTTGATGTAACGTGTCAGCATCAACAATCTGTCTTGTATGTAAACCAATTAGCAGCTTCTCATGTTGGCAATACAGTGATGTACATGCAAAATAGGAAAAGAACTGATGAGTTTGTGCTTGTTGTAGGGCTAAATCCAAATCCCATGATAGGCAATCAACACTTTAAAAAAGGCTCTGAGATGCTGCTTAGAGCTACAGCACATTAGCTGTGGGTGAAATGCAGCATTATAAGAAATGCCAATCATTGAAGACTTATGTGCCTATAAGGGTTAGGCAGAAGCTGGGCAGCAGACTGGAAGCATTATGCAGATGCTGTATGTTCCTCTGTGCTCCACAGAGCCCTTGTTTTAGATAAAAGCTTTGCAGACAGTCAACATTTGCTATTTAAAAGCAATGATAGAGAGTTTCTTACAGTATGTATTGGGGGGAAGCAGAGTCAAAGCAGGTTAGCCATAAAACCTGAGTGAGATTATTCAAAATATTACATTTTTATTTGGTCTTATAGTGAAGCTAGTATTCTGGACTTTAGACAAAGGACAATGATATCTATGTAATAATTCAATTCGGCTGAGACACTTTGGGATAACATGAACAGGCTCAGCAAGATCAGTCCAAATGACAGAATAATCGATACTTTGTGGACATAAATAAACAAATGGATGGCTGAAGACTGGCTATGATATTTCTAAGGATTCTACACATAGACAAAACGCCCCCCTCAAACCAACAGATAGATTCAGAGACAGATATTTTGTAAGAGGAGATGGAAATGTCCATATCCAATGGTAACATTAAAATCACCTTTGCACATTGTGTTTATTTGTTTGCTTGTTTGTTTGCTGGTGAGTGTTTTGGTTGGTAGTGCTTTGGAGGTTTAGAGGGTTTCCATGTTTGGGTTTTCAGGCTGTTTTTTTGTTTTGGATTTGATTTGGTTTTTTTTAATACAGGAGATAAATATTACAAATCCACCTCTGCAAAGCATTAAAGCATGTACCTAACCATTGTGAAGAAAGGCAGGTTTAAACTCATGCTTAAGTAGCTGGATGAATTATATCCAAAGCATGACAATTAATTCTGGTTGTTCCATTCAGTCTATTGTAGAAAGGTATTCTGTATTAACTAAGTTAATGAAGAGGTTTCTTAAGAGGGATTTCAACCCCTTTCCCTACAGTGTGCTGACATCTAGTGGCCTCAAGTCTCCAGGGTCAAAATATGAACTAATTTTTCATCCTAGCCTTTCTTAGATAAAAACAACCTCTTCAACATCAGCGAGTGGTTCTTGTCCTCTATTTTCTTTAATATCTTCCCAGGTTTTGAAAAGACAAAAGTCTTTTCCAAGCAGGGAAAAAAAGATTCAACTTATTCAGTTTCATTATTTGAAGCAGAAGTAATCATTAGTGATGAAAATCAGAACTATAAAAGGACATTACTGATGGCTATATTCTTCTAGACTGTTTTGTGAAGACAAAATCTGCATTAAAAATATAAATTTGATAATAATATATGTACGTATCAGTAACTGCTAGTAAAGCAAGGTTTGGACCCTAATCCTGTCTCTGCCAAAGTCATTGTCAGCTTTTAACATATCCTCAGTTTATTGCAGCTATAAAATAGGAAACTGAATTCTGTTTTCATTTACAATCTCACTTATATTTCCGTGGTGATGTAATTGCTTGTATGGAGATGAAAACAGAAGACAGCCTGTTTTTTCCTGACATATTCAGAGGATTTCATTACAAGTAAGGAGATCCAATTTTTCAAGCCAACTGTTTGAATCTCAAACAGAAATTTCATCAGTTGTCACTTGCTAATAGAGAGAGGCGTCCTGGCCTGGATCAGGAATGGTGTGGCCAGCAGGAGCAGGGAGGTCATTCTCCCCCTGTGCTCAGCACTGGTGAGGCCACACCTGGAGTTCTGTGTCCAGTTCTGGCCCCTCAGTTTGGGAAGGACATTGAGACACTTGAGCACGTCCAGAGGAGGCAATGAGGCTGGTGAGGGGCTTGGAACACAAACGCTGTGAGGAATGGCTGAGGGAGCTGGGGTTGTTTAGCCTGGAGAGAAGGAGACTCAGAGGTGACCTTATCACTCCCTACAACTCCCTGAAAGGTGGCTGTAGTCAGGTGGGGGTCGGTCTCTTTCTGCAGGCAGCAGCTGACAGAACGAGAGGACACAGTCTCAAGCTGTGCCAAGGGAAATAGAGGTTGAATAGTAGGAAAAGGTTTTTCACAGAAAGAGTGATAAAGTACTGGAATGATCTGCCTGGGGAGGTGGTGGAGTCACCATCCCTGGATGTGTTTAAAAAAAGACTGGGTATGACACTCAGTACCATGATCTAGTTGAGGTGCTAGGACATGGGTTGGACTCAATGATCTTGAAGGTCTCTTCCAGCCTAGTCATTCTGTGAATTCTGTGAATTCTGAGAATCACTGAGAAAAAGTTACATTAAAAAGGATGTCTGGTAGTCATGTAGTCCAAACTCTCCCAGCTTCAGAGTCAAGTCACATTACTCAGGCTGTTTCCCAGCAAGGTTTTTAGTATCTCCTGAGAAGAAGATCCAATGATTGCTGTGGGCATACATGTTCTAAATGATACTATTTTGCACAAAGATGCTGCATTCCATACTGCAGAATGAATCCACCTGAGCAGAGTACAGCATGACTACTCTTCTGAATTGTGATGTTACACTCAGTTTAAGCAGATGATCTTTGTCTACAAAGCACCATTTAATTTGGAGTTTTATTGTTAACAAGAGTTAGGAAAAGGCAAATGATCCCCATTTATGAGACACAGCTCTCAGAAAAAAGGCAGATCACTTTTGTAGACTTCACAGCCCTGAGGGTTTTGCAGAAAGTTGTGTTAATGCTTTTAAGTAACATTACCAAGTTTTCTCTTACAATACTAAGAAGCAATCCAGGGAAGATATATGGAAAGATATTTGGATAAGACATCCTTATTGTTTTCACTAAGGGCTTTTCGGTTGTCTTACAAGGTTAAATTTAATCCACTTTATATCAGTAGTTGGTTTAAGTGTGTGTCATTGAACATTCATTTAACTAAAATATGAGTTCTCTTCTACAGCTGTGAAGCAGAACACACACACACCCCCACACACATCAAACTCTATTTTAGCCAGTTAGTAACATCCATGACCAACTTAACTATATTGTAATCCAACTACAGAAAATAAGTGTTTGGCAGATACAAAAAACCCTACAGTACCTTGAACACAGGTTTATCTCCACCCAGCCCAGCTTCCAGGAGATGTGAAGCAGAAGTCCACCCACCAGTGTTTGCCACCTGAAATAGAATGACACTAGGAAGTAATATGTGAGGCCTAGGGAATATGTGCAGATAACTTAGAATAAGTAACAAGTAATGCACACTGATTTCTTTTACACTTTAAAATGAGTTATCAGCTTTCTTCTTCCTTAAGCTAGTGGTTTTCAGAGAGGTGTTCCACGTTTCTTGGGTGAAAATCCTTGAACATCTAGCACAGCTCAGACAAAGATATTGTATTACAATGTTAAATGACATTAACATCCATAACAGGTCTAGCAGTGGGCTTATTTATCATTCCCATTCATTTCAATGTATTAAGCAATTATTTAAAATCTCTCTCACACATGCATAAATAAATATTCACTCTATGCAGTACTGGCGCAGTTGGACACTGTCAGAGAAGAGTGAGCTCATTTTCCACAGGGATGTGGTAAATATTCAATGCAACTGTCACAGCTCACTTCACCTTTTTTTGGATGAAGAGCATATGAGAGGTTAAAAGGCAGGTTTCCCTGACATTTGCTGTAGGTTTGACTATGCTCTATGCAAGCCAGTAGTAAAATCCCATCAACTTTTTTGTGAAGATTTTCCTCTTGTCTCAGGTTTTAAGGACAGAAGTTTGTGAGAGTTTCAGATGCTTAAGACTATGCAGAATAGTCTTAGATTATACAGGGAACCAAACCAAGTTCCAATGAACAGTGACAGCATGAACTGAGAATTACATTGTTTTCCTCTTTGCTCACCTATCATATGAAAATGGAAGTGCATCTGAACCACTTAAAAAAATTCAAGGAAAGGTCAGTTTTAAAAGCCAGAACTTCTGGAAAAATATTAAGATGCTGAAATGCATTTTCAAATAATAGAAAAAGGAAATAACTGTTTTAAATATCTGTTGTAAAACAGATGCTGTAAGGCAGTTGCTTGCCATTGAAATACGCTTTTCTGTTCATTTACCATGTCTAGTTTACACAAATCACTCAAAGCCCTCTCCCCATATGACAAAAGCCTTCTGCAAGAGACAGTCTCTGTGTGTGTGCTGAAACTGAAGAAAGTATCCACTGCATATCTAATTGAGCTGAATACATTGGAAGTGGAGATTCCCAAGGCAATTATTCCTAGAGTTGATTGCAGTCCTGAGACTGCAAGTCAGGCAAAAATGTAAGCCATGCTAAGCAGCAGAAAAGTAAGTAAAGACACCCAGTGTCTGCAGGTTTTAACATAATCTCAAAAATGGAGGAAATCTTGGCTCTAAGATGCCAGATTTTCACTAAATGTCTCATCAACAGCATTGATGATATATAGGACACTTATCAAAACATTAAATTTCTCATTACAGTCATTAAGATATAATAGTGACTTGTGATGCAGACTTATAAACAAGGCTAAGCATGAAAAAAACATGGTATTTTTGAATGCCTAAAGATGGGTTTAAGGTTGATTTTCTCTAGCACAGCAAAAGAATGTACCATAACTACACATTTTCCACATTTTGTTGTACTGTAATTGCTATTTTTCTATGCTGAAGCTTAAGACTTTAAGGAAAATGAGAAATTATGGACTCTATATATCTCAATTACATCACCTGAATGATGTTTAAAAATTAACCAAGACACATTAATGAATGCTTTATTAAAGCTTCATGAAACATGTTCTCTAGACAGCAAAAGTCAGTAAGGACCAGAGGTAGCAAAGTTAGCTTCAGCACAGAACAACATGATGTTATAGTCATTTTTTAAACAATTCTTAAAACCATACTTACCCTTGAAAAAGGGTAGGGTAGGTAAATTGCAGGACAGACAGGACATACTGGAAAACAAATAGCAAATTAATGGACATCAAACACCTACAGTTTATAATATTAACAAAAAAATCACAAGAAACAAAACATACACAAGAAGTTTTCATTTTGCTTTAGTTTGGTAGAAAAGCAAAAAAAAATGTTTAATTATTTCACCAGTTTTGTGTATTTCCTCCCCCTTCCCTCATCAGGCTGCACTATGATCCCTGAAATCCTTTATAGGCCTCAATCTTGATGAACAGCATCTGGGCTAAGTTCCACTTGAGCTTATCAGAAACACTGTCTGCTCTAAGAAACTTAATGCTGTCCAGTGAGTTCCTGCTTTTTAACAGCCTTGGAGACTTATTTTTCTTGCCTGTGTAATAACCCAAGTGGAACAACATTTTTGTTATTGAACTTTCTTTGAAAGTTACCAACCCACACTGAGGCCAGGAAGGAAAATTACTTTGTCTAAACCCAGCTCTCTTGTGATCCTATAAACAGCAGTCCTGAGTGAGACCCTTTGAGTTCTCCTGGACCACAGCAGGATGCAACCAGCAACTTCCCTCTGCGTGGGACACATCTCAGAGCCAGCAAACTCCCAAGTTCACTACACTTGGAAGATCTCTGAAGGATGGTGATGGATCCTGGGTTGATACTATCCACTCAAGGCTCAACCCTTTTCCCATGAAGAAGGTGCAAGGACATTCAAAGTGAGAGTACTTCACTGAATGTGAGGGAAATTTTTCCTTGGTATACCTTTACAGATGTTCCTTTAGGTCTGAGTGTGTGTGAATGTGGATGTGCTGTAGCAAATTCATAATAAGTATTGCTCTCTTTGATTCTTAAGTACATTAGGTTTGTAAGTAAGATAGGCCTGTGAGTCACTGTCATGCCTACATTAAATTCTGTATTAATCTTTTGTTAAATTGTTTAAATTAAACTTTTGATTAAGAGCTGCTATGTTTAAGTGCTATTAAAACCTTTAGACTAAACCATTGATCAAATCTGGGGTTAAGTTTGGCAAGCGGGTCCACTATGAATGCTGTGACTCAGTGTGAGTGTCTTACTCCCTTTTATCCTTACCCTTTCCTGTTCTTACTTCCATGTAGATAATTTTAGGTTGATTGATTTTTAGATTGATGGATTTTAGTCTGATTTTTCTCTGTCTGCTTTAACCATCAAATAAAGATGTTGTAGATGTAATGATGTAGTGCTGTAGTAATGTAATAATGATCTAATGATGTAATAATGTAGTAATTGATGGCAGCAGAGTGAACCTTGCCAACAAACTTTATCATGATTTCACCTTAATATTAAATCTTTTCACCTAAATATTAAAGCTTTTGCCCATCCCTTTGCTGGTGTTTCTCTGAGTAACCTAAACCAGTCATTCAGGACACTTCCCACACCAGAACTGCTAGATGCTGCTTCAGTTCCTGTGAAAGGTAACAGACACTAAAGTACATGATTGGAGTGGACACACTGAACAATGGAGAAGGCTGTCATCTGAATGTGCTTTCACTTTCTGAACACAGTCCATACATCACACTGAATGGAAAAGGATTAAAAGGAACAAAAAGCCATAAGCACCAGTCAGTTAAAATCGTATTGTACCAAAAAGGCAATCTTTGGCAGAACCAAGAGCAGTAATCTTAACATAATTGTCTCCCTATGATTAATGTATCTTACAGACTTAACATTCTGCTTGCACACTATTTTGTGTAAAATATTAAGCAGCCCATAAAGCCCATCAGATAGATGGGGGTAAAAAGCAAAATCTGCATCATTGCTTTAGCCTGCATTGTCTGGGCCTGCATCTATGGCTGCTAGTGTCTCTTCACACTAAATATGTATATATGCAAATGTGAGGCATAAATACATATCTTCCAGGTCTAACAATTTCCCATAATGAAATAAATAAATACCACTTCTGCAAAGGAGAAGGATGATTGAAGGTTCCTCAGAGGAAATGGAAAGTAGTTGCTGCTCCTTCCAGGAGTCAGCAGAAACTGTCAAGGAGAAAGCTGAAACCTTTCAGCAGAGAGAAAACTGTGCTGAACACCTTGCAAGGTCCAGTTTTCAGATTTATGGGGTGTCGCTAAGAGGCTGGCATCAGTTTACAGTGACAAGGCATGTTGATTCACAACAGGTCCTTTTACACATACACCTGTCAGAACTGCCACTTGCATTTTAAATCAGGACAATCTACCTACATGCCTATGCTCCTGCTTGCATTTGTACACCACCTGCAGCAACTGAAAGGTCTACATTCTGGTTATTTTTAACTACATTACACTAAAACCTACATTCAGGTTTGAAAATGGAGGCCCTGTGTCAATGTCCCTTATGACTTCTCAAGCACAGCTAAGCCAGATGAATATGCTTCCCAATCCATGATGCAACATGGCAGCTCTTTTAGTCCCTTTGTTTAACTAATCACTGCTCCCAGCAGTCTGTCAAATCAAGTTCATTATCTCTCCCTACAGCTTTGCTTCATGTCTGGACTTTAGTCTATTTCTGGGCATCCTTAATGGCAAATGTATCTTGGGACAGAAACCGCTGGCCAAAGCCCAGAAAATATTTCATTTTCACCTCTGAAATGCTGGTTTTTTCTAATCCTCCTTCAGAATATTCATAGCCTGATTGCTTCACCAATATTTTTTTCTTTCAGAAATCTGCAACAGAAATACAGACATGCTGTCTGACAAATAGGATAGCACGGAGCTCTATCTCCTCCCAGAGTGAAAAAACTACTTTCAAACAATACTTTAATGATACAATTTTATTCACAATGTGGCCATCTTCAGCCTATTTCTTCTACTTAGAAACTTCAGCAACATTAATAAGACATTGTTACACAGTGGAAAACAAAATTCTTGGTTGGTAGGTTAATTAAGTTGACAAAGGAACAAAGTTTCCATGGAAGTTAATTGTTTCATACTAAAATAATACTTTGAATATTTCACATTTTCCCCTTGGATAGTTGATACTATTGTTCCCGTTAACAGATTTTCTTTCGGGAATGAGTGCAGTTGTCAGACATCAAATAATGAAATATATACAGCATCAGCGATACTTTGAGTGCAGCATAACTTCTGGGTCTATAACACTTCATTCATTGGAATGACATGATGTCAACCCCGTTGCTCTCCTAAACAAGACAATAATGGAACTTCTCTGTCGTGGAAAGGTAAAGTTGTCACACACTGAGCAAAACGAAACCTGCACTCTATCCGCAGTTTCGGGAGCACACGGGGATGGGCGGCGGGCTGGAAGTGCCACGGACTTTTTCACTCGTGGGGTAGTCCCGTCCAGGAAGGGCTGGTCCTCCGGCTCTCCCTGAGCAGGGCAAGCACGGAAAGCAGAGGGCACAGTCTCTCCTCTTTCTCCCCCTGCTCCTGGAACCCTGCACTTCCCTCGCCCCCCGCTCCCGCAGCTGCGGAGCGGCAGCCAGCGCCCCCGCACCTCCCTGCGCCCCGCCCGGCCCGTCCGAGCCCGGGGCGGCCCCGCGCC